GATTCCTGGAGTTTCAGCTAGTTAAGAGGCTGAGGTGGGAAGATCGTGAGTTCAAGGTTATAGCAAGACCCTGTCTCTGGGGAGTAGGGAAGGATGATCAGAAAGTGGTCTTCTCTAGAGTCCTTAATCACATGTGATTCTTTGTGGAACAGCTGAGATTGCAGCTCTGGGAAGCCTACTGCCAGGTTCGCTATCTCTGCTCACACCTTCGAGGAAATGACAGTGCAGACTCGGCCGTCTCCACGGACTCTTCAATGGACGAGTCTTCGGAAACTTCGTCTGCCAAGGATGTGCCGGCCGGCAGCTTACGCACTGCCCTCAATGAGCTCAAGAGGCTGATACAGAGCATTGTGGATGGCATGGAGCCCACGGTAGGAGGCCAGTCTGGGAAGGTCCTGACTCCCCAGGTCTGGCCCAGGGGGAGGTTGAAACCCTGTACAAATGTGAGGTTGATCCTGGAACCAGAACCTCCTGAAATCCCTGTAGTGATTCCTCTGAGCCTTCGTTTGTTTGAGAGCTCCAAATACTGGTGATCACACAGGGGTCAGGTACCAGGAAATGGAAGGCTCAGAAATCAGCTCCTCTAGGCCCCGTTGTTGACCCCACCCGTGGAATCCTCTCCATATATTGTAGTTATGTACAGACAATAGTGTCCTTGAGTTCAAAGGCTTTCCTTGGAAATTTTGAATATAGAAATTTGTAATCAGATAAAAACTGCTGCATACTCTTCTATATCACTTTGGTCTTAGTGACAGGGTCAACTATGAACAGGCAGCTTAAAAAATCTGAAACTTCCCTCAAAAGAATATGAATGAGCACAGAAAGTTGAGATCTACTCCAGGGCCTTTTAGAATCCAGATGTGAAAGAGAGGGATGGCCCCTGGTCAAGCGGGCCAGACTGGCCTTTCTTCCAGCCTCAGGCTGGTTCCTCCTAGGACTCTCTATTCAGCTCCCAGCCTGAGGCCCCTGTTTCTCCTCAGGCTCCATCCTCCTGCAGATTGCTGTCTCCACTGGTACTGGATGAAGGAGGGTGAAGGGGGTGGTTTCCTTCCGGCTGTGCTGTTGCTCTGTAGTCCCCGTGGTGGGGAGCTGTGGGAGGGCAGTGTGCCGGTCAGCCGCACAGCGTCCTTTCTGTGATGCCTGAAACAAGTGAATGGCTAGTTATTGTTTGTGGACAAAGATTGAGCGAAAGAATCTCTCTCCTTAACCCCTTCTTTCTCGTCCCTTTCTCTCTCCCCTCCTTTGTTTTCTCCCTTCTCATCTCCCCTACTGTCTTCCTCTCCTTCTGTCCCCCAACCAACCGTCTCTCTGTCCCCTCCCTGTCACTCCTCTGCTGTCACCGTCTCTGGCTGCCTGCCTGCCTTTTGCTGCCAGAGCTCCCGGAGAATTGATGATGACTCCTTAGAAGAACAGATAAGGCAGACCAGTGAGGACTCGAGAGCCCTAAGGGAACTCATGGAGGGAGAGAGGGGTAAACTGAGGCAAAGCCTAGAAGAGCTGCAGCAACTCCACAGTCAGGTGAGCACCTCCCTCTTCAGTCCAGTGTGGGGAATGTGCATCTGGCTCCTGGCTTTCTTGGGACCCTGTGGGTTTCTCCTTCCTGCTACTGCTTGGGAAATAGCACTCCTTCATCAGATCCTCAGGAGGCTATGACCTGAAGCAGAGGTGAGCTGGATATTGTGAAGAGAAGAAATCAGTCCTCTAGCCCAAAGTAACATCAGCAGGGATATGAATAGCTGATCTTTGGGGCCAGCAGGTGGCATAGTGGTTAAGCCGTGTACTCCCACAAGGCTGACCGTGGTTCAAGTCCCAGACCTGGTAGCTTGAAAATCAGGCCAGGCACATGTGCATACATGCCCAAAATCCCAGGAGGAGAATGGAGGAGAAGGGATTTTGGCATGGCCATTCCCCCTGAGGGGTTGACTTCTCACTTTCTCTCACTCTATCTCTCTGTATCTCTAATGAGTGCATACACCCTACAGCAAAAAAAAAAAAGAATAGCTCCATTTCTTCCAGTGCCACTGCCTTCTCCAGAGCCCAAAGTCTGTCTCACTGGAGGGTGCCAACTCTCAAGCACCCCAGCTCCCAGGCCACTTAGGGATGTTTTTCCAGCAGATGATTGCTGGGCAGGGAGGTTTTCAAGCCAAGGGATAGTCAATCTTTACAGGCTGCTCTCATCCTATAAGTGCCATCACCTCTCTCAGCTTGCTTTCAGCTTTAGAACTCACTGTCCTCATAGTTCTTTTCCTGTTTGATCATGGTTAGACCTCTTGGAACACTTGAGACTGACATTTATGTATTCTGATCTGAAACATTTGAAAGGACTTAGGAGCAGACCCAGGAACAGATTTCCCAGAAAAGAGCTCCAAAAATCTATAATCTATTCTAGGAAATAATGCCCTTTCCTTCCTTCCTTCCTTTCTTTCTTTCTTTTTTTTTTTTTCTTTTTTTTTCACACTGCAATCTTTTTCCTCCATTTCTCCTTCTTGTCTGGATTTTGGGCACACAAGCACATGCACCTGTCATGTTTTCTTTTCCTTTTTTTTTTTTTGGAGAGGTTTTTTTGCTATAGGGTGCATGTGCTCGCCAGACAGAGACATAGAGACAGAAAGTGAGAAATCACCCCCCAAGGGGGATGGTCACGCCGCAATCCCTTCTCCTCCATTCTCCTCTCGGGATCTTGGGCACGCACGCACACGTGCCTGGCGTGAGTTTTAAGCCACCGGGTCCGGGACGCGAACCGTGGTCGACTACGTGCGAGTCCAGTGACATAGCCATTACGCTAACTGCTGGTTCCCACCTGTCATGTTTTTGCAAGTCACCAGGCCAGAATTTGAATAGCAGTTGGCCATGTGCAATCTGGCTCCCAGCGAGCAGCATTTACCCACTGTGCTCCAGGGCCAGCCCAGGACCTCTTCTGACTGTGGGCACAAGTAGAGGTTCTTTTCTGCTTGGTGCTGACAGCCAGGAACACCAAACAAGTAGCCTTGAAATCCCAGCTTAAATTCCAGCCCTTTCCTTTCCTGCCCAAAGCTATTCATCCCTTCTTGCTGCAACAATTTCTGCAAGATAGAATTTAAGCCTGGCTTTTACTTCAGTCAGTATTTGTTTGTTTTGTTTTAATTTGTCAGAGGGCACACACACGCTCAGGGATGAGGGGAGAGAGAGAAAAAGTGCGGAAGCATCCTACTGGGAAATGGCCATGCCACAGTCTCTCCTCCCTCTCTCCTTCCTCTCAAGATTTTGGGCAGGCTCACACACGCACCCAGCATGTTTTTCAAGGTGCCAGGTCTGGGGTTCAACTGTGCAGTCAGCTCTATGGATCCACCAGGCCATGGGCTGGCCCCAATTGATGTTTCTTTACACTTAAAAATATCTTTACAAAAATCAAAACTGTTGACTTTTTTGGGTCATCCCATTAGTCTTCTTGTTATTCTCTTGAAAGATATTGGGAGACCTACACTTAGTCGTTGCTGAACTCTTCTGTCTACGAGTGCTCAGAAAACAAGGACAGAAAGATGTTGTAGCTTGGTCATTGGCCAAAGCCCGGGGGTTGGGTGAGCAGCCACAGACCTGCCAAAAGCCCCAGGTCCTCAGGTGGCCAAGGAGTAGTCCAGACTTAGAGACAGATATTCCAACCTGGAAAACTAATGTGTAAGAGAAAGCTGGATCTAAAAGTCCTTTGGATTAATAAACAGCTTTATTTATTTTAAAGCCTATTTAAATTTCTGCGGAGCGCTTCTGTTTATCAGCTCTTTGATATTGACTGGGTTTTTGTTTGTCTAATTTTGTTTTGTTTTGGTTTTGCCTCTTGGAATTAGAAAACTAGAAGTTCACCAGAGGACATTGTTTTACTCAGAAACATCAGCAAAGTGTAGATTGCTAGGAGTCTGGTGTAGGACTATTTAGGAAGTCATCTACCCAAGGGAAATTTTCTTAGCTGTTTAGCTGGTAACCGGTTTAGGCCAGTTCTGTGGATTCCTTTGAAATAGTTCACAAAGCAGATGATTGCAGTTGGGCTTCTCCTAGGTCATCTCTTCCCAAGTGCTCAGGGCGGAAACCTTCTCAGCCGGGACCAGCAGATGGTGTAATGGTTACATCACTGGATTCCCATGTAGTCGAATGCAGTTCGAGTCCTAGACCCAGCAGCATGAAACTCAGTGCTGGGCACATGTGCATGCTTGCCCAAGATCCCAGGAGGAAAATGGAAAAGGGATTGTGGCATGGCCATCCCCCCGAGGGAGTGATTTCTTGCTTTCTATCTCTGTCTCTCTGATGAATGCACACACTCTATCACAAAAATCTCTCTCTTTAAAAAAAAAAAAAGCCCTTTCTTGGGACCAGCAGATGATGTAATGGCTATGTTACTGAACTCCCATGTAATCAACCATGATTCAACTTAAACTCACTCCGGGTGCATGTGTGTGTGTGCCCAAGATCCCGAGAGGAGAATGGAGGAAAAGGGATTGTGGCATGGCCATCCCCCCAAGGGGTGATTTCTCGCTTTCTGTCTCTGTCTTTCTAGTGAGCACACACACCCTATAGCAAAAACCTCTCCAAAAAAAAGCCCTCTCACCCACATTGCATCCACCAAGACCGCCCATGGGAGTGACACTGACAGCCCAAGCAGTGGATAGAATGTAGATTGTGTTCCAGCAAGACTGGAAATTGGAGACATAGCAGTGGGTTAACATTGCTCATAAAAGGTTAGTTCAGCATCCACTGACACCCACTGTGTGCTGACACTGTGCCTGACCCCATGCTGGACAGTGCATGGTGCACGGTGTTATGAGAGCAGTCAGAGCCATCTCTGGCCCCTTTCCAGGGCAGGGCCCAGACAAAGTAGGCGGGACCAAGATTCCAGTACACAACTCCTAGACCACAAGCCACCTACCCTGCTTCCCTGCCTGAGAGTGCTCTTGTCTCTCCTGGGAAGCACCGGTGGGGTGTAGAAGGTGAGTGGCCAGTAGCACCCTACCCCAGAACTTAAGTGTTCACATTTAATTTGACTGATAATGATCTCTTTGAGGCAAAATTCCTACCCAGACCTGAAGACTTTCTCAGTGCCTGTATTATGCTAAGAGAAAACAAGTCTCAAGCACTTAGTGCCCCCTGCCCACCCCCTGTGTGTCCATGGCCAGGAACTGCCCCCGCCCTCCATTGCCCACAGCTCAGCTTGAACTGCCCCTTCCTTCTGGTGAGTGTGGAACAGCTGCCAGGAGGGTCTTTGGGTGATGAATCTTAGAATGTGAAATCTAGGGGCCAGCAGGTGGCACAGTGGTTAAGGTGCTGGATTCCCACATGACCAACCACAGTTTGAGTCCCAGACTTGGCTTGCTTCCCCCCCCCTGTGTCTCTCTCTCTCTGGTGAATGTACATGCCCTATAGCAAATTTTAAAGTAATAATAATAAAATTAAATAAATAATATATTTTTTAAAAAAACAATGTGAAAACTATCCATGAGGTTGGTAAGAAACACAGCCCATTCTGCCGTTTGGGTCCTTCATGCTTGAATAGAGTGCACACACCAGTCCCTCCAGGGCCAAGGGAACAGGAGAGCGTGTACTGGAGCAGTAGGGCTTCACTCACCTACTCTCGGAGACGCCTCCTCTGTAAAGTCTCAGTGTGTTCCCTCTCCTCCCTCCCCCAGCCTGCCCGCCTCACATGACTGGGATTGATCTTCACAAGCAGGACTTGAAAATAGATGGAATGCCTCTTTTATTTCCAAGGGATGAGAAACTTCCAGCCCCCGTGGCCACGTCTGGCTACATTCTGGCCATTCACTTTCCTCCCCTCCTGCTGTCCTCTGGCCCCTTTGCTTAGCAGAAGTGAACATGGATATAAAGGGGTTTCCCACATCCAGGTCTTCCCTGTGGGTCTTTCTCTCAGCTCCCACTTGCTCAGCCCTGCTCATCCTTCAAGTTTTGATCAGGTTTTGCTTCTTGTGTGAAACCATCTTGACTCCCTTCCCCCGGGTGCCCCGGCTCTGTCTGGTCATGGTTATGCCACTCACATGTCATCTTCCCAGTCAAAGCATAGACCGCAAGGACGAGCTTGAGGTCTGGTGGAGCTCCGTCTTCCCCGGAAGCATCTAGCACAGGGTATTGCCTAGTGTAGGCGCACAGCTAACTGCTGGGCAAGCGAGCGTGCGATTTCAGGGTGTCGTCTTTGACGAGTTTAACCACAAGGACACCCACTTTATTGAGAACGGTGGACTTAGATGAGTGTAACCTGAGTCCATGTGTGAAGGAGCCAGGGTCAGTCCTCATGGCAGCTGTCAGCAGGAGGGCCACCCTGAGAGAGGGACAAGGGGAGAGTAGAACTCAGCCGTGAGCCACGCACTGCCCTGGGTCCATGATATTACTCACCTCATGGGGTCCTCACAGAAAGTTGGCAGTGGGGAATAATTGTTATTACTGCTTTTTATGAAAAGTATGGGTGACTCAAGGTAAGTCCTTGTCAGTGGCAGTAGGCCCTAGCTTGACCAGGTTTTCCACGCAAAAGTTCTGGAGTTTTTCTGGAGCATATTTGATCCAGCATATACTCTTTTTTTTTTGGAGAGGTTTTTGCTATAGGGCGTGTGCACTCACCAGAAAGACAGAGACAGGGAGACAGAAAGTGAGAAATCACCCCCCAGAGGGGATGGCCACACCGCAATCCCTTCTCCTCCATTCTTCTCTCAGGATCTTGGGCATGCATGCACACACGCCCAGCGTGTCCAGGACTCGAACCACAGTCAACTACGTGGGAGTCCAGCGACATAGCCATTATGCCAACTGCTGGTCCCCCAGCATGTACTCTTACCTGTCCTTTACTGGGCTCAGAACATCTGGCTGGCCTGATGCCCTATTAGGGCTCATTTGGTTCAAGGCGTTGACTGTCTCTGCCAAGGTGCTTTCTGGGTCTTGTGTTCTGACCTCCTAAGATGCAGAACCTGCTGATAAGTAGGGTGTGCCTCAGCTTCCTCAGGACAGATGCATATGCAGGCCATGGCCTCTGCAGTGCTGCAGCCTATTCTTTCCTAAGGCTCCTGACACTCCCTACCCAGCTGTCCCCACCTGGAGGGCCACTGCTTTGGGCTGTTCTCCATGCACAACACCAGGCCCTGACATTCCCTCTCAAACTCCCAAGAGGACAAAATCATTGGCCAGAGTGGTAACAAATTATCCTGCCCCTCCTCCTTGCTGGTGTCCTCTGAATTCCTCCAGAGCGACTGCTACCCCAGGGGCTGGCCTAAGGAGCTTGGTCAGCCTTCAACCTGGGGCCTTTGCTCATTCCCATTGTATCTGAAGATTATCAGACCTGACACTTGGAAAGCCAAGGAGTATACTAAAAGATGACAGAGACAGACCTGCCCGGATGAATCCTCCCTTGGGAAAATATCAAACTGTGTAATATTTAACAAGAGGCAGGGCCAGGCATCCTGACTCATGTCTGATCTTATCTAATGAAAAGAAGGGGTTCCCACCCTTCCATTATTCAACAAGTATTTACTGAGAGCTCAACAGGCAGGATTTCTACTTGCAAACAACAGAAATTTGCTTTGCCTTACTAAAGCAGAAAGACAGTATAATATGCTGGAATTAAATCCGATAGCTTACAGAATCTACAGGAAAGCAGGAGAATTCCCCTTCAAAACGGGAAGAAGCCCCAGGAAGGGGACCACAGGAACAGTCGGCTGCCTGTAAATAAATTCTTCTTGCCTGTGCGTGTGCTGTCCTCCTTCAAGAGTTACAGTTCCAGGGAGGATGGTGTGACCAAGTCTAGGTCGTGTGACCAAGTCCAGGTCACATGCCCATGCATAGGCTGCCGAGGACAGGAAATGTCCATCGCTCTTTGGCTTCCTTATTGCAAGGTCATGCCCTGCCTCCCATCACAGCTCATACAACCAAGAATGCCCCCAACATAGGAAGACGTTTGGGGTGATGACTAGCCAAAAACTGACAATTGTCCCATACACAAGTGCCCTGGGATTAAGCACCATGTGCAGGTAGGTTTGGGATGCTGTCACAGGCTTCCTGCCATCACAGAAATCGTGGTGGAGTGGAATAAGCCATGCTCACCGCGGAGGGGCACCCCACTACCAGGAAACGACTCCCACATTGGGTGTGATGACCTGGGTGGGCTGTGGTGCCATTCACTGAGCATGGACCCCAGTAAAGGTAACAGGTTTGAAGTGCAAGATACACCATTTAGGTTCCTAAATTCCCTATGGCTTTGGCCTGGGGAGCAGTAGGAGGAATGGAAGAGAACTAGGCTGTGGTGAGTGCTATCAAAAGTGCGAGCCAGGTCCTAGGTTTGGGGACCATCCAGAGCCTGCCAATAGCGTTCCATGTAGAGAGGAAGATGACTAGAAAGAAAACAAGTTCTTATCACCAGAAAGTGTTGCAGAGCTCCGATGCATCTGTGGGCTTCATTAGTTACCTGGGGATGCCTGAGTTGAAGAAGATGGTGCTGAGTACAAAGGGGATCTGGCCTCCCTGCCACCGTCCGGGGCTGAATTTCCCCGAGCCCCCTTGCACAGAGCTGGAGCCTAGCATGTGACATCCTTTCTTCAGGGGAGATGTGTCCTCCCTTGGAGCAGGGCGGCCATGAGAGGCCACCAGCCTGCACCTTACACGTGCAGCCCGTGCCTGCCAGGTTTCTGTGTTCCTTCCTCCCCCTTAGAGGGAAGTCACCAGGCCGGCAGCAGTGACTTCATCACATTCGTTTCTCTTTGGTCTCCTGTTAGGTGACACTGCTGAGTGTGGAGATGACTGCATTGAAAGAGGAGAGAGACCGACTCAGAGTGACATCTGAGGACAGGGAGCCAAAGGAGCAACTTCAGAAGGCCATCCGGGACCGAGATGAGGCCATTGCAAAGTGAGTGAGCACAGCTTATTTTACTTTAAAAATAGAATTGAGGCTTATCCATCATGGCGCAGCGATAGTGCAGCTCCCTGCAGTGCTTAAGACCCTGTGTGTCGGGGACCAGCAGTTAGCGTAATGGCTATGTCGCTGGACTCCCACGTAGTCGACAGCGGTTCGAGTCCCGGACCTGGTGGCTTAAACTCATGCTGGGCGCGTGTGCGTGCGTGCCCAAGATCCCGAGAGGAGAATGGAGGAGAAAGGATTGCGGTGTGGCCATCCCCCCTCCGGGGGGTGATTTCTCATTTTCTATCTCTATCTATCTCTGTCTGTCTGGTGAGCACACGCGCCCTGTAGCAAAAACCTCTCAAAAAAAAAAAAAAAAAAAAAAGACCCTGTGTGTCTCTGTGGTTTGGGGGTTTTGATTTGCTTGCTGTAAGGCATGTGTGCTTGCCAGAGAGAGAGAGAGGGGGAAAATGAGAAATCATCCCCCAGAGGAGATGGCCGTGCCACAATCCCTTCTCTTCCATTGTTCTCTCTGATTTGGGGCATCCATGCACATGTGCCTGGTGTTTTCAAACCACCAGGTCCAGGATTCGAACACCGCTATCAGCCTTGTAGGATCCAGCCACTTTCACCACCATGCTATCTATCTGCTAGCCCATGTGGGTTTTTTTTTTTTTAACTTTTATTTTATTACGGACTTTATCAAGGGTAAACAAAAGTAGAAAATATAAGACGAGCCCATAACTACCCATCTCTCAGTCTCTACAGTAATCTACATGTGGCTACTGTTAGGACATCTCTATCCCCACCCACTGGGTTATGTTAAAACAAATCAGAAGACATTGTTACCTCTCATTCATAAATACTTCAGTATAAATCTCCACCAGAAGCAGATTTTCTTTTTTAAAATGCACTACCACAATACAGTGATCACACTTGAAAAATAATTTTCTATCCCATTTAGTATCCACTCAGGGTTCAAATTTCCCTAGTTGTCTCATAATCAGACGCCAAAGTCTATATTCCACTTCATTGCTATGTCCCAAAACTCCTTCCTGTCCTCCTTTTTTTCTTTTTCATGTTGCATTTATTTGTTGTAAAACTGGATCATCTGTCTCATGGTTTTTCTGTGTTCTGAGCTTGATTGCATATCATACCATCCTTTAACATTTTCCTCTGGCTCCAGTATTTTCACATACAGCGTTTTTACTTTTAATAGAAAAATGTATAAAGGCATCCTCTTACATACAGAAATATAATAGAAATACATGTTTGTGTATTCTCCATCCCCCTATAAATTATTTCTTTATCATGCACTCAACCAACCCTTCCCTATTCATTGTGCGAAGAGATACAAATTAAATGTATCGACTTTGGGCCACTTACAACACATTAAGAGCAACTAGCAACCTTGGTACATCACCTTACTGTTTACAAAACGCTTTCATCCCTGAATCCTCCCAGCCACATTAGGAAGTAAATTTTTAATTCCAGTTACACAGATGAAGAAGCCAAAAGAGACTGTCCCAGGGCACGGCCATTGTGGCTCCCTCGCCTCCACCTCAGGTCTGAGTCCAGTTGTGCTGTCGTTGCTTCCTCTCTGCTGCACTGCATTTGTTGAGAAATGAAATGGAGTGTAAATAAGATCCTACGTGCCTTTTTTTAAAGATAATAGGACAGGGACCAGCAGTTAGTGTAATGGCTATGTCGCTGGACTCCCATGTAGTCGACTGTGGTTCGCGTCCCGGACCTGGTGGCTTAAAACTCACGCCGGGCGTGTGTGTGTGTGTGCCCAAGATCCCGAGAGGAGAATGGAGGAGGAGGGATTGCAGCGTGGCCATCCCCCCTGGGGGGGGTGAATTCTCACTTTCTATCTCTCTGTCTCTGTCTGTCTGGCAAGCGCACGTGCCCTATAGCGAAAAAAACCTCTCCAAAAACAGAAAAAAAGATAATAGGACACATTTTTATTTCTTACTTTAAAATTCTGTACCCTCTAGCCTTCCCTGTTCTCACTTCCACACACATGCTTCCCACCTCCCTCCTGTTCTCTTTAATCATTTGGGTTTTTTTTCCATTTCCCAGTTTTACCTTTGGGTCCCCTTCTCTGTCTTGTCAGAACCTCGTATCAGGCCATCTGTCAATTCCTAATTCATTGTAGACATTATGGTCAGTGAAGCACACATGGTTGTGTATCTTTGCCACTTGGAGTTCTGGTACATTCGGTCCATGGATACTTGAACAGCAGTGGGAGACAAGGGTGGGGACTGTGGGGAGCATACCTTTATGAATAACAAAGGGTAGAATTGTGTGACAGGGAATAAAATGGTAAAATTAAGATGCTCATTGTGGAAGCCTATTGAGAATAAAAAGTAGAATGAAGTTAAAGGTTCTGGTTGGTTACTTTTTCTCTGATAAGCAGAAAAGGCAGAGCATTAAGATCTGATTCTATCGTGTCATCCCCAGGGAACGTGGGAGATACAGCCAAAGTGTCAGGGTGCACAAGGGAAAAAAACAAGCTGTCCACTGCCCCCCTTAAAAAAGGTGGGACCTAGCTCCGCCACCTGGGTCTCGAGAGAGGCAGCCACCAAATGCATGTGAAGCCTTGTCATGCATCCCCTCTCTGGGGTCACAGGAGGCCCAGTTAATATCCTGGAGTGTGACTGATCAGATTTGCAAATTCTCCTCCCTGGAAGGATGTTTCCAGTAGGGGAAACTGTAGAGTGAAAGCTCTGTCCTTCCTTGGACCCTGAAGAAGGGGGATAGCTAGGTAGAGAGGTTGGATCATTCCAGGAGGATCATACTTTTTTAGTCTCTGAAAAGAAATTTTCAGTACTCAGGAATCGAGACAGCAGACCTAAGGAACCATTAAAGGAGAAGGCTCTTCAATGTTTTCCTATATTGTGCATCATCTCTGTGTCAGCCCTGGCTGTACTAGGAATTCCGCCTGACTCGCTGAGGCTGGGGCTGCTTCTTTACCCCTTGCCGCAGCCAGGCATTTGGAATTCCAATGACAACCCTAAGAAAAATTAACAGCCCTGCTTCCCTGGGCTGAAGAAACTTTAAGGTCTACCTTATCTCATGCAATAGAGGAGTTTCAGGAAAAGTTAGGTAACAAACTTACCCCTTGGTAGGCAAAAGGCGCTCACTGAAAACAAAAATCTGGGGTTAGCCATCTGCCTCAGAAAAAAAACAAAAAAGGGTCATATTAGCAGTTTCACTTAAAGAATTCTTCCTTGGAAATATTCCCAGTTTTTAAAATGCGATTAATATATGATCAACAACCTCCGTGGCCGCGCTTTCCCATCTGGGGTTTCTCATGACTAAGATTCCTTTGTGACCAGACATTTTGAGGGCGCAGTCCAAGGTCAGCATAGGAGATAGGAAGGGAACCAACCTCATTGGCCGTACCCCTGTCCCTGAACCTGGGCCCGGAACCCCTCGCCCTGGCGGCATTAGTCAGCACATTCCCAAGGCTCCTGGCTGCTTGTGGCGCCACCTGCCGGGGAGCACCGGTAGCTCGTAAGGCTGCAGCCCTACGGTGCACTAGGGGCTTGTTCTGACTTCTCAGAGCCACAGGGCAAAGAGGCGTCCATGGCAACCGATTCCTGGCGAGTTTTCCTGTTTCCTGCCAGCCAATGGCAGCGGGCCTGACAGAGCAGCTTATAGAATCTGAGCCCCTGCCACCTATTGGTCAGCTCGAGTCCCATCTCTGCAGCCGCAGTGGGCGGGGCCGGCGCGAGGGCGTTGCTCTCTGGAGCGGCTTCTCCAGGGAAGGTCGGCGAAGCCGCTTGAGAGCTTTGTGGTGGAGGAGCACGGGGGAGCTGAGTAATTGCTCCGTGGCCAGGAGATCCAAGAGGAAGTTATGTTCTCGCCAGCGGCCTTAGCACTTTACACCTACTCCTCCTACCGGTGCTCGTGGCTTAGTGCAGGCAGATCATTTATAAGTTCTTGGCTGTCCTTTTAGGTCGCTGGTCCAGAGGGAATAGGACCCTTTTGTTAGCTATGCTAGCGCTCACAGGAGCAAGTGAAGGCAGGGCTCAGTAATGCAGGTTTGGCACCTAGGCAGCCAGTATTGCCTTTGCAGACGCTGCCCAGGTAGTCGCTCCCGTTTTAAAATTCTTTTGCCTCTGCCAGCCCCTCCCCCCATCTTCTTTTGTATTGCATAGTTGTGGTTTAAGAATGTTGAGAAAGGTGAGAACCAGCAGTTAGCGTAATGGCTATGTCGCTGGACTCCCACGTAGTCGACCGCGGTTCGTGTCCCGGACCCGGTGGCTTAAAACTCACGCCGGGCACGTGTGCGTGCGTGCCCAAGATCCCGAGAGGAGAATGGAGGAGAAGGGATTGGGGGGTGATTTCTCGCTTTCTGTCTCTATGTCTCTCTCTGTCTGTCTGGCGAGCGCATGCGCCCTACAGTGAAAATCTCTCAAAAAAAAAAAAAAAAGAATGTTGAGAAAGGTGAACAAAGTAGCATGTGAGACATACACAAAATGTGAAAATACAAAGCACACAGTTATGGGTGGGGTGGGTAACCCTTGGCCTGGTGGTCAAGGCAGCTGGATCCCACAGGGCTGACTGCAAGGTTTGAGTCCTACATCTGGTGGCTTGAGAAACATGCTGGGGGTGTGTGTGTGCATGTCCAGAATCCCAAAAGGAAGTAAAGATGGAGAAGCGATTGCAAGGTAACCATCCCCCATGGGACGTGCTTACTCTCGCTCTGGCAAGTCAAGTGCACATGCCCTCTGGTGAAATTACCAAAAGAAAAAGTGCGTGAGGGGAGTTGCTCATCAATGAGCATCGCCCAGAGATAATCAACTAGATTGTTGTGTATGTCCTTCATTACAACAGGCCATTTTTACTTTACAAAATTAGTCGTCATACTAAACTTTGTTCCCCAATGCTTTTCTCTGCTCAGGTACACGAACTACTGTCCATAAATATTCCGCATCGTCATTTGTACTGGTGACCGTAACTGTCATGTAATTGTTACCAGTTCCCTAATTGTTGGATTAGCTAAACTGTGGTGGTCGCCATTGGCTCCCTTTGCTCGTGAGTGTATCTTCGAGAGAAGTCCCTTAAAGGGGGAGTAAGGAGTCCCTCTCTACACCAACAGGATAAGGCTCCCAACCTTCCAGTGAGAGCCGGCCTTTTCTCCAGAGACAAGTAGCTCCTTCGGGCTGTGTGAGCCCTTTGGTCTCCTCTGGGTTCCAGGACTCGTTTAAGCATCATCCTTTTTCAGTCACTTCTTCGTCTGTGAAATGGGGATAACAGGTCATGCCTTCAGATCAGTCATGAAAACAGAATACAGACATAGACAGTATAGTGTCAGTCCACAATGGACCAGATATACAGCAGGGGTCCCGTCAGGTAGGCATGTAGTAGGCTACACCGTCCAGGTTTGTGTCAGTACTCTGTGATGTTCGCACAGCGAGGAAATTGCCTGAGGACCCACACTCAGAACACGTCCCCACGGTAAGTGGCGCACACTGCATACGTGAAAGCACGTCATACACCCGCCCCTCCCAGCAGTGATACAGCTGCTGGTGCTGTGTCCGTGAGCCCCTGTCCTCATCCTGTGGGCTCCGTACCCCATGGAAAGACCTGGATGCCTCTGGCACCAGGCGCTCACGTGCACCCTGCCTTGTCTGATTCCAGGAAGAACGCTGTGGAGCTGGAACTTGCCAAGTGCAGGATGGACATGATGTCTCTGAACAGCCAGTTGCTGGACGCCATTCAGCAGAAGCTGAACCTCTCGCAGCAGCTTGAGGCTTGGCAGGTAAACGAGAGCCTCGAGACCTGGGGTTAGAGAAGAGGCCAGGAGGAGTCTCTGAACTCAGGCTGACTGTGAGAGGGAGAATTTGCTATTGGGGGTCCCGGGTGACCAGGTGAGCAGAACCCGTCTTCACCTGGCACAATCTAGAGCTCCTACCCCACCTCTGGGAAGAAAGCTTAAGGACGCCCCCGAGAGCAGAAAACCCTAGGCTGTCTGGCCATGGTGACCTCCAGATGTGGAATGGGACCCTCCCCCAGCCCGTCCTCTGGGCTTTTGACCATGGAGGGCCCAGGAAGCCCTGTGTGGCCGAATGAGAACCCGCAGCTGGCTGCGGCTCAGCCGCCCTCGAGCAGCTGGCAACGCTGCCCTTCCCCTTCTCAAAGGCCAGCTTCCTTTCTCCAAAGAGCACTGTGTTGCCCAGGCCCCGGGGACAGTGAGTCAGTGTGTCCGTCTCTAGGACCATCATTTTCAGGGTCCAGCAAGGCTCCCCACGGGGCTGGGGCTGGGGCGGTGACTGGCTTTTTGTTGATGAGGTTGAGGCGGCTCAGTTTCAGGATGCAGGGGTAAACCGTTGATGTCCCTCTCCAACAAAGCCTAACCAGGTGAGCCCCACTGTGAGGCCAGGTTAGTGGTAACCGTTCCTCCAAGGGCCCCACCAGGCTGGCAGCTGAAGCACCAGCCCATCACAGAGTGCTGGTCACTGGCACCTCAGCCCCTGCCTGGCGGCCAGCTGGCCATGCCCTGGCTGACCACCCCGTTCTCTCTCTTCTCTCCCGGCTACAGTTTGCTTCCTCAGGGCTTTTTACTATCTGGCTCCTTTGGTTTCTGATCTAGTGGCCTTTCTCAGTTCCCGTATCAACAGCTTTAGTTGTACACCCCTCCTGCCTTTGAGGTGAGACCGAGCACTGCATCCCACCACCCTCCCCTGCTGCCATCGCCTTCGTGCCCCTGCCGCCTCCCTCGTGGCCCACCGTGTTCTATGTGCCGGAGCCCGGCATCATCTCTGTGCAGTGTGACGTGCCCTCGAGTCCCGGCCTCCCCCTCGCATCGCTGTCCTGTCCAGTGAGCTTCTCGGCAGCACGCGGCCCAGCACAGACAGGCTGACCCGTCTCTGACAGGCCGGCCCTGGTTTCTTGGTGCCACCTTCTCATACATGGGTTGCTTTGCCCCCCAGAAGTTAAGAGCAGGCCTGGACTTGTGGGCAGCATGTGTGTCTGTGAAGTTCTAAAACGATGCATTTCGTGAGATTACCTTGATGAATTTGATTGTTTAAAGTAGACATGCAGTTTGCAATTTGCTAGAAAAACCCAATGGTAACTTTGCAAGGATTTTTTTCCCCAAAAGACCCTTAAGCATCCCTACGTCATATTTAATGGCAGACCTTACTGAGCACATGCTAAGTGCTGGCACTGTGATGAGGACCTTGGACGTAGGGACCACGTATCAGCATATACCTGGTATGGTGTCCAATCTGAGGAGCGAGTGGAAACGGGAAAGCAGGGGAGGCGGAGAAGACAGGGAGGGAAGGTGCCAGGAAGGGGATCTGAATGACAGGAGAGCAGGATGTGAGCAGGGAGGGGGAGAGGGTCACATTCCCTGCACCTGGTCATGGGTTAGGCACCCACCAGTGCAGGCTTGGGTGAGACAGAGGTGGTGGACACGCTGGTCACACAGAAGGGCCCAGCAGCCCAGCCTCTCACCTCATCTCACGAGTGGCTGCTCAAGGCAGAGGTCACGTGCCCCAACCACAGGAGGCCGCTCTGAATGCAGGCCTAAACCATCCTGTCTCAGACACGAGCAGTAACCCCAGGGGTTAGCTCAAGTCCTGGGGTCTTTTTAAACAGGACACCCTAGAGCCCCCAGTTGAAGGATGAAGGAGCCTGGCGAGTGCTTGCTGTGTTTACTGCTGACACGGATGACACAGGGCTGCTCACTTTCCAAACCCAGTCATTCTCAGACTTTGTGAGTGACAGAGCCCCTTTGTCAGATGGAATCTTAGTCAGAAATCTAGTAGCGAAAGGCAAACTAAAAAGGAAAGCACGCTGTCCAGAAGCTCATCTGTAAAGTAGAAAGACATGCATTTCTGGGAACCAACCAGTGGTATAATGGTTATGTCACCGGACTCCCATGTAGTTGACCACAGTTCGAGTCCCGGGCCCCAGCAGGTTAAAACACACCAGGCGTGTGTGTGTGTGTGTGTGTGTGTGTGTGTGTGCGCGTGCCCAAAATCCTGAGAGGAGAATAGAGGAGAAGGGATTGTGGCATAACCACCCTCCTTGAGAGTGATTTCTCACTTTTTGTCTGTCTCTCTGGTGAGTGTATGCACCCTATAGCAAAAAAAAAAAGTTCTGTAAGATGGAGGATGAAGGGGCATTTTCTAGGCAACTTGGACAGATTGGGAGGAGAGGTCCTTCCAGTAAGGAAGCTAAGGTCTGAGGTGGATAAGAACCCCTGACCATAGCAATGCCTATGGCCTCACTCCAATGGAAGCCTCGCTGCTGGGAATGAGGACAGCACTCAGGGAAGCTATTCCTTGCCACATGAGGCTATCGGTGGGTCACAGGCACCAGCAGTTCAGGCTGGAAGTAATCTGGAGGGAAGAAAGGGCAGAAGAACCCCCAAGGCCAAGTGCTCGGGCTGCAGAACTGAGATCACCCTAGAGCCTGCAGGAGTTAGAGGAGCAAGGCAGGGCAGAGGGCTGGTGGGAGGCCGGCACTTCACCTGGGCCTATAGGGACTGACCATGAGTGGTCAGGCGGGAGGGACACTGGCAGGGAGAAGCCAGCCCAAGCCCTGTGGTGTCTCCACGTGGCTCCTGTGTGTGTGCAGGCATCATGCCCACGCTCAGTGCTTTCTTGGTTGGGACAGCCCCGGCTGCAGCTGCTCACTCATCTCATCCCTCATCATCTCACATCCTTTCAACATTTGCCACCTCCCAGCCCAACCCAGGGGCCAGGCCAGAGTCCCTGCTCAGCCCCGTGTGCTTTCCCCTCCTGCAGGATGACATGCACAGGGTCATTGACCGGCAGCTGATGGACACACACCTGAAGGAACGGAGCCGGCCTGCTGCTGCCTTCTCCAGGGGCCATGGCGCAGGGCGTGGGGACGAGCCCAGCACCACCGAAGGCAGACGGCTCTTCTCATTCTTCAGGAAAATTTAAGTTGGGAGGAGTCGGGCCACTGAGGATGAGTGGACTGGAGGTGGCTGAAAAGGTGGTGTGGGCAAGGGTCTTCCCTGCAGCCTGGAGCCCAGCAGCTAATCCTTTGCCCATAGTGCCCCATGGGGACCGAGACCAGGAGGTGGGGCCTGCCTTGGCCTCTGAAAGCTGCCCTCACCCCACCACCTGCTGAGTCCACACCTGGGTCTCTCCAGGATGCCATGTGGAGCAGGGCTCAGGCTGTCTCCCAGAGAGGCTCTTGGTTGGGATCTGCTGCTCAGATCCAGTGGATCACAGCCCGCCCTGCAGGCTCTGCTGCCTCCACTTCAGAACATGGGATGCAGAAGAAACGAAGGCCTTTCTCTGCATGTCGCAGGAGGCCTGAGCCTTGGAGCCCTAGTCCTGCAGGGCAGCAGGTCCAGGCCTGAGCCTCCACTCCTGCCCCAGCCCCTCGCCCACGTGCATGCATGCACCTCTGCCCGAGCACCTCTGCAGGAGGAAGCCCAGCCTGGGCCATAAAGCCTAAGAGCTGGGCCGCTGAGCCTCAGGGAGGAAGAAAGGCCCCTGCCCTCCCCCTGCAGCCTCCTGCAGTGCAGCCCTCTCCCCTTGGCAGGGGCCAGGCCTGGGAGGGGCCTTTTCTTCCGGCAGCCCCTGACCCCCCACATACACAACTTGGCCCAGCCAAGGAAGCCCAGGCCACAGTAGCCCAAGGAGTCTGGTCAGCCATGTGCACCTCAAGGGCACCCTTGGCACCACAGGGCAGGTGGGGTAGGGGTGGGGAGGCTGTGGGAGCCTGGATGCTGCCCCCCAGCTGCAGAAGGCCGGGCCTGCGCCTGCTGCTGCTCCTTCCTCAGCACCACTCACCTCTGCTGAGGCCCCTGCCGGCCAGCCCACAGCTGCTTCCAGCTGATCCCGTCGCCCGTCGCCCTTCCTCCCTCGGGAAAAGCACAGCAGGGATGAGCGGAAAGAATGTACCTATAGATATGTACATACCACAGTGCTGTAATTTTGTATGTAGCAATCATGTAAATACATGTATGGATTTTATAATATACATATATATAAATCTATAAAGGCATATTTTTAGAAAAACAGCGCACCACTGCTTCTTTTGAAAATAGTCTGAATAAGAATAAAATGAATTTCTACACAGCTCCCCGCCTCAGTCACTGGGATGGGGGGTGGTTTGGGCCACAGGCGCCCTGTGTCAGAACCACCACTGGCTGCTGATGCTAAGGTGGCGATCGTGGGTCCCTTGTGCCTGGGAGGTTGCCCCGTAGGCTGGTGCCCAATGGATTTGGCCAGAAGGGGGCACCTCTCCTAGGGGGTGGTGGCAACCTGCCCCACATCCACCCCTAGTGCGGGCTCCCAGCCAGCGGTGCAGTGCGCTGACTATGCGCAAGCCTGCCAGCGCCGCTTCCCAGGCCGAGGGCGGGCCCTGGAGCTTGGCAGAAACCTCCAGCCAAAGAGCACTCCAGACAAAGGCTTCCACTGCATCCTTCCGGGCATGTGGAGAATAAACACCGAGCTTCCCCTGGCATCTTACACGTGTGCTCCCGCCAGCCTGTCAGAACAGGACTCAACCCTGGGCCAACTGTGGAGAAAACCAGACTTGGCTTCTGAAAGTGTCCCCAGGCCTGGACAGGCACCTGTGCAAGACGGGCCCAGAGCAAGCAAGAGCTGGACACATGATGAGGAGCCAGGCCAGAGCACAACTGGAGGGAGTGCAAAAAGACCCTGGAAGAAAATTTGGCAGCTCGAACCTTTATTTTTAGTATTTTTTTAAAAAGCATAATTAGAAACTTTCGATACAGAAATAACCCTAGCAAACCATTTAAAACTTGTGTTGTCTGACAGGAGGTTCACATCAGGTCCACCAGGACGTCGGTCCAGCCCTGAGTCCCCCACCCCCACCCACAACCCCCCTTCATGCATGTAACACTCAGCGAGACAGGCACACCGTCGTCACCAAAACCACCCACCCCCTGGGCCTACACATCCAGGTGCCAGAAGCCATGGGGGCTCCAAGCCTGGCCTGGCAGCTCCCAGGACCCGTTTCTGCATGGATTTACAAGCACTCTCAGGCTGGCTTCACCCGCGTGCCCAAGAGGCAAGGATCCCCCACCCACCTCCCCACCCCCACAGGAGGCCCAAGCTCTGCATCCCCACAGGGCCCGCATCAGCCAGGACAGTCCTGAGGATGAAGATCATGCCGCTCTACCACCCCCCTCAGCCCTGCAGCCCCTCCTCAGCCCCTGCCTTCCCAGGCGCACAGAGCTCCCCACCCCAACCTGCAGTTCCCATGTGAAGGCCTGTAACGCAGACCGTCGGGCTTTTGGCAGTTTGGACAAGTGGAGAGACAGGTGAGAAGAAACCCCCAGTTTTTATTGATTAAAAACCCATCCACAGTGTTAACATGGAGAATCTGCAGTGTGATCTGTGATGTGATTGTCCAGTCAGGGCTTTGCCTGGAAATTGCCTAGGAAAGAAAATCTAATAAAACACATCATGGTGTCGAAATAAATTCTTCCTAGGTTACGTGATCCTTTTAGGAGAAAGGGGAATGAAGTGTCCCGGGGGGGAGGGGAGCAGTAATCAAGTGCAGATAACCCTGGTTTTCCTCCAGGGGACCAGGGCGGGCAGAACGGGCTGCCCCCTGCCCCACTGCTGTTCCTTCCCACTCAGACCTCCTCCTGCACCTCTGCTCTTGTACTGAACATCTCGGCAGAGACCCAATGCTGCCCCCGTCCGGCCAGAGGGCACCCGCAGTCCAGCAGCCCCTGGCACCCACTTGCCAAACTCAGAGGTGCTTGGTGCTGCATCATGGTCTCTCGAGCTCCGGCCACGGGTCCTGGGCCAACACAGACAAGGGTGGGAGGCCTCCATTTCCCACCATGGAATGGCCAAGAACCCCACCCCACTAGAACAGAAAGCCATTCACTTTTTCTGAAGACATCGAACCCATGGGATAGCCATAACTTTTGCTACTGTGCCAAACCTCAGGGCAAGAAAATAATTTTGAGGAAGGTAATTCATTTGATTTGGCTTCGTTTTCTCTCTTAAAATACTGCTCCTGTCGTTTCCCCCTGCAAGCCCCATCTCTGCGCGAACATACCCCTACCTTCTGCTGGAACTAAGACGTGGAAGTCAGAAGCCATGGCTCCCGGGTTGGTGCTCAGAGGCATCTAAAAGGTAGGACAGGAATCTGCTGGCCCAAGGGCAGGACTGCCTCCCTCTGTGGAACCAAAGGCTGGAGCCAGCAGAGCAGGGCCTGCCTCCAGGCCGTTTCCCCAGCTCTCAAAGGTCGTGATGGCAGGAGAATGGGGGGGGCAAAGGGACGGCATGGACCCCAGTGAGGGGCGAGACCCTGCACCACAGGGACAGAAGCTGACAGCCTGGACGAGAGACAGCAACACGGAGCCCACTCCACCGACCAGCTGGCAAAGACGCGGCGAGGACGTGAAGCTGTCTCCTCGGGAAGCTGCCGGCGGTGAGGTGGGATGGGGAGGGCCCGGCGGGTCTGTTGCAGCAGGCTGGCACTAGGCCAGAGCCACAGCAGGACGAGGGTGTGCGCTGGCCGAAGCAATATACATATGTACAACTCTGGGTGCTCAGTCCGCTCGCCAGCAGGTCCTCGCCAGGCCCAGGTGCCTTGGCCAGGGAGGAGGGGCACCGTAGGGAGGGCAGGCTTGTCCAATACCTTCTTGGCACTCGAGGGTGGGGGAGGAAGTGCCGATGGCGCCTCCCGATACAAAAACGTGGAGAGGATTCTTAAATAACGGCACGAAACTGAGACTGTCCCCCGAGGAGCCCCCGCGGGCCTCGGGCTGGGGGAGGGACCGCAGCGCAGTCTCTGCAGTGGACGGGGCATTAGCAGCAGCGTTTCTTCCGTTTACTGTTCTTCGTGAGCTTCACCACGTCGTTCTGTTGTTGCTGCTGCTGTTTCGCCAAGTTGTCTTTCTTTGCTCGGAGCACCAGCTCCGTGATGCAGTTGAACATCTGTGGGGACAGAGGAGCAGGGCGGGCCTCAGACCCAGCAAGGAGGCCCTGCCACCCGCGGCCACCTCCCGGCTTCCCAGGCCCAGTGCTCTGTTTCTGCATGTGATTTTTTTTTTTAACTTTCATTTTTTATATATGTGTCCTAAAACCCTCTCCAGAAGGAAGGAGATGGTGAAATTAAAGGTCAAAAAAACGTCAAAGAACCCACAAACTGTGTGGACTCGGGCAAGTCAATCTCTGGGGGTTTCCAGTCTTTTATTTTTTTAAACAGAAAGGAAGAACCCCTTCCCTTCAGCTGGAAGCTGATGAGCAGACAAAGGTGTCCCTACTCTGCTGATGACCAGAAGGGGACGCATGTCCTGCCCACTCCATGCCACGTCACTGCAGAGCCCCAGGTCCCTCTAGAACCTTTCCCAGGCCTCCCAACATCCTTCCGATGCCAGGATCCAGTAACAATCATCTATTGATCCTCAGCCCTCTCCTCCATCCAGGCAAGAAGTTTAACGGTGACATTGGTGGTGGCAGCAGCAGGCACGACAAAACTGAGCCACCGTCAACCAAGCGTGTACTGTGTGCCGGGCGCCGGGCACGCCACGTGACTTGCTTTGCTTAAGGCTGACACCTGGCAGGCAGGACTGACTCCCCAGTATACAGACGAACAACAGATGAGGCCCAGAGAGGGTCCGTCACTGCTGGTCAGGCCAGCCCCCTTCACAGGCCCGCAGGTGGACAGGCCAGGACTCTGCCCTCAGCCTGACTCTCAGCCTGTGACCCTGACCCCACACACAGTAAGGAAAACCCCCCGAAGGCTGGCAAGTGGGGCCAGGCCAGGCTTGTGCAAAAGGCCTAGCTTTTCTTCCCCAGAACTACAACTGCTTTCCAGCAGCCTCAGCAGATGCAAAAAGGGAAGCTGCTGGGCCAGAAGCTCAGCCAGTCCGCAGAGGCCAGGAATGTCAGAACAGGAAGACGTGAGAGTCTGAGGCCAAGAGCACGGTGGCAGTGAGGCCAAGGACCAGAATGGAAACCATGCATGGCTTTGGGGTGTGGGGCAGATCGAAGTTTGACTCAGCCTCATAGCGGCTGGGTGATATTCCTGACGTGACTTCCACTCAGAACCTCAGTTTCCCTACTCAAACCCTGGAGATGCTTACACCCACCTCAGAGGACTGCGGAGAGAGCAGCGAACCCCGAGAGGGCCTGGCATGCAGGGGTGCTGAGGGAAGGGAGTGCCCGTGACGTTTTCTGTGGCTGCCTCAGTGCCCCGAGCAGGCTGGCGCAGGGGGAGGAGGGCCCGGGGAGCAGAGCCGGGCGGTGGTAGGGGCTGGCTGGACCCCGCGCTCCACTCCTCTCCAGCAGAGCCTCTGCTTTAGGTCTCACCTCTTCCACGTTGACGTTCTCCTTGGCGCTGGTCTCAAACAACTGGATCCCCATCTGCCCAGCGAATTTGTAGGCATCTTCTGTCTCCACCACCTTCCGCTCGGGGTCGTCGTTCTTATTCCCCACTTGGAAGCACAGCACAGTCAGCCCAGCCTGGGGAGCACCTGCCCGCAGTCGCGCCAACGCCCCGCCCTGGGCCCAGGCTCACCTAGTATTCGGCACACATCGTCACAGTTCTGGTTGATCTCGTGAAGCCACCGTTTGACGTTGACAAAGGACTCAGCACTGGTGACGTCATAAACCACAATGACCCCGTGAGTCCCCCGGTAATACCTGTAGGGTCAAGGGATAGGGTCAGCCTGGCGAGAGCAGTCTCTGCTAGGGCCCGCCCACCCACATCAGGACCCCGGCCGGGGAAGGAAAGGGGCGACTGATGCTTTGCCGCCACCCAGAGTCCTGGCTCTCCAGCCTCCACTGACATGCTCGAGCTACACCCGCCAGCGGGAGAGCTGCCTCGGCAGCTCTGCCTTCACACGCCTGTCCCCAGGCCCAGCAGTGCAGGAGGGCTCGGCCCTGAGGTGGCAGACCAGGTCGGAGGAGTCACCTCCCAAATTCCTATTTCTTTTAATTCAGGCAAGTTTTGTACTTGATACCAAGCACCAAATGTCCCCATGTGGACATCCGAAAAACTATTCTCTCCACAAATCTGTTTTAGCAGAATGCCATTCCAAGAAGCTGCCCACTCGTGACGCCCTGGCGACGTCGGCGTCCCCTCCCCGGGCAGTGGCGCCACCCTTCCTGCTGCTCTTGGCTCGTCCATGCCAATGGTAGGGAGAGGGTGGAAGCTGTGTGGGCTCTCAGGGATGGCTGGGAAGGGGCCCAGCTACACCATCACCCGGAGGAGCAGACCCAGGGCCGGCAAGGGGGTCTGGAAGGAAGGGGGTACCAAACACGCCGGGGCAGACCCTGGCACCCGGTACTGCGGACTCCACGGCCCCATTCCTCTGATATTCCAGAGGACAGATGAAGGCCATCGGCCTCGGGAGGAAGAGGAGGTGCAGGCCGTGCTTCTCTGAGAGCTTCCACACCCCTGCCTCCAATGCAACTTGGCCACACAGAGCAGCCCCTACAGCCCTTCTCCCAAAGCTTCAGGGATTTCCATCACTGGGGCATCTTCGAACGTCAGGATACAAAGATTGGGACTGAGCAGGCTACGGCCTCCCTGCATCCTGGCTATCATATGCCCCAGCCTGGAGCTCCTGGAGGAGGCTATGACTAGGAGAGTCACTCCTGCCTAAGACCAGGGCCTCAGGCAGTGCCAGGAGCCAGGCAGGGACGGAGTGGCGGCTATCATGTGCCCCAGCCTGGAGCTCCTGGAGGAGGCTAGGAGAGTCACTCCTGCCTAAGACCAGGGCCTCAGGCAGTGCCAGGAGCCAGGCAGGGACGGAGTGGCCAGGTTGGGGTGCGGCTCGTTTCACCTGCCCAGTGCCCTGGCCAACTCTCCACACTCAGGCCCAACCCCAGAACAGAGACCGACCCTGGCTCCACCTCTGGAAGACTGTGGACCCGGGGTCCCCTGCTGCACCTCAGGTTCCTCAGCTGAGATGGGGATCCCTCGGGGGTTGTGAGAAACAAGGGAGATACGTTAGTTATCACGAGAGCTTAGAGTAGCGAGCAGGCTCCGAGTGGGTGCTTGTTCTTAACGTTCCTTCCGTGACAACTCAAGGTCCCAGCAGAAGGAGGACGGACCCGGAGAGGCAGCCTGGTGGGGCAGCCCTCAGGACATGAGGCAGGCACGAGAAGGGCCTGCAGTGCCCGGGGGTCGGGCCCAGTTTGCTGCCTCTCTGCCCTCCAGACCCCACTGAGATCTCCTAGGGCTCTTCGTCCTGCCCGCAGCTTTGCTCTGCGACTCAGCACCCCTTGGCTTTGGGGGAGCCAGGATGAGCCAGCCGTCTTGGCCCTGGGCCCAGGCTGGCCCTCTGGCAATGGGAACCAAGGGAACATGATGGTCCCTTCCAGACGGTCTCAGCAGAGGACGTGCGGGCAGCGGAATGCCAGTGCACACCCTCTGCTGGAGACGGTTAGAGAAGCCCAGAAATGCCCATGGCCCCAGCACAGAGCCCCGCTGCTCCCCGGGAACCGAGGCCTTCAGGGCTTTGTCTGAGCACAGAGAACCTGTCCAGGATGGGGTCGAGGGCTCAGAGCTCTGGCTGGGGCACCAGTGCGTCTGGGCATCCTATTGCCATCACCGACCCCAGGCACGCGGCCCTCACCAGACCTGCTCTGGGCTGCCCATGGTGCCGGCACAGTCCGGCCCACCTTGCTCGCCCTGTGACAGCCTGGCCCCGCAGGTCCCAGCTCACGGGATGCAGCTGCAGGTTCTCTTTCAGTGTCCCAAATCACAGGTCACACCGCTGCACTCTCACTGCCCATCGCCCAAACTCCTGAACTCCTGACCTATCCGGAGACTCTTCCCTCGTCACCAGCTACCACCCGGTGTCAAGTCCAGTCTTTCCGTAGCCCCTGGTCGTCGCAGGGCTGGGGGACCCACAGTCAGAGATAACCCTCCGCCTCCCCAGACAGGCAGGACACCCAGGGGGGCCAAGCTGGTGCCCATGCCAGCACGCAGTAACCCCCTTCTTGAGCACCCTAGAAAAAGCTCACTTTGCCCAGAGGCAGCCGAGTAACTCCTCCAAGTTTCCCAGTGGAATGAAGGAGCCAGTTCACCCTCTGCCTGCCCCACCCACCTCTGAGAGGCGCTGACTTCAGGGCAGTCAGCTGAGAGGAGCTGTAGGTCCTCCTGCTGAGGGGCCCTCAGACAGCCCAGGTGGGGGGGCCACTGCCCATTGCCCACTGCCCTGCGTGGCCACAGACCTGTCTCTGCTGCCCGAACCCCTGATTGGTTCTAACCCTGGGGCGGCAGGCACCAGCACGACCACCTGGCACATCCCAAGTCCTGGGGAAGGCAGCAGAGAGCAGAACGACAGACCCGTTCCCAGCCTGGGTGTGCAACAGCGGGACCTAGGCCCCACCCTAACCAACCAGGCTATGCATGTCACCCTCTGCCCTGGCTGTAAAATGGAGCCAATCACAGAATGCTTTGGGGGATCAAATAAAATATAGTGAAGCCCAGAGCAAGTCTCAGTCCAGAGGAGGGACATGTGGGGTCAGCCCAGACACGCTGACCCTGACCCCCGGTGCGAGGTCTTGTCTTGCTTGGGCCTAGGAAGCACTGGGGTGCCTGAAGCTTTCAGTGCCAATCCTACCCCACGGGCCTGACCCCACATCCTCCTTAGGGTCTCGCCAGAGATGCCAAGACACAGGGCCGAAGGGCTGTACCCAGGCAGCCCTGGGCTCAGGACCCCAGGGTTTCGCGGAGTTGCAGCCACGGCACACACACTCACCACAGGGCTAACCAGTGACAGAGGCACCTCCGGCTCAGGGCAGGGCAGGTTCCAGTGAGCCCTCTTGCGGTCCACACACCTCCCTGCCTGGCCACATCCCTGCCTCTCCATGCTCCCAGCCAACCCACACTCCACACTTCTGACGCTCAGAAGATCATGGGGATGGGAAGCCAGTCAGGTCCGCCCCTCTTCCGTGCTGAAGGGAGAAGAGGGTTCTCAGGCCGGGGAACTTCCTACACGGCTCATCGGGTCCACTCACAGAGAAAGTGCCCTGGGGAGACTGTGAGGGCACCGGCGGCAGGCCTGACACCAAACCCCACTCTGCACACACCGCTGTGTGGCCAGGGACCGTCATGGCTGGCGCAGACACTTCTCGACAGCAACCTCTTCTGTAAAATGGGGCCAATAATAGCACTGACCGCACGCAGCGATGATCCACACAGAGCCTGGGGCAGAGGACCTGGACGTAGGGTTCCACACCAGAGCAGATGCCAGAGCTGAGCCCTCTGGGACGCTGCAGCACAGACGGTTTGGGCCACGTGCCCGAAGTCACACAGTGGAGGAGAAATTCAAATTCCCTACTGTCTGTGTCTTTCCTGGAACCTGTCCCACTACCAACCCACTAACCCAGAACCTCTCCACAGGACTCCTGCTGCTCGGGCCTGGGCTGGGCTTTCTCCACACAGAGGTGCTGCAGAGCAAAGGAGGGCAGCCCAGGGAGGCAGAGCCCCAGGCAGCTCAGGGAGGTTGGGGAAGGCCTCCTGAAGGCCTCGCAGAGAGCTCTCTTCTCCTAGGTCTCCCAAGACAGAGCTGCCTCCAAGGGGGCAGAGTGGATGACAGGCACCCACAAGGCCAACCTCTGCCATCACAAACCGACACTGCCAAGAACGACTGTCACTGCTGCCTGCCTCTGCTCCCTGAGTGTAAGGCAATGGACTCAGGCCAGAGGGAGAGCCAACTGCCCAAGGGAAGGGACGTGGCCACTGTCCTGCAGGATGCCAGAGTGAGGGTGCTCAGCCACTGTCCACCCGCCTCCTCTCACATCTTCAGGAACAGGAAGGGCACAGCCGAACACCACCCTGCTGTGGCCAGCAACAAGCTCACTTCCTGACAGCCTCGGGGACCCACACGGTGACACCAGAGCAGGCCCTGTCGCTCAACCCCATCTCAATATGGAATCGCAGCTCCAGTGACTCACGTGGAGGTGATGGTGCGGAAGCGCTCCTGCCCGGCCGTGTCCCAGATCTGCAGCTTCACTTTCTCCCCGTTGATCTCCACAGTCCGAATCTTGAAATCCACTCCAATGGTGGTGATGTAGCTGCCTGCATGCACAGGGCACGTGAACAGGGCCCAGCAGGGGACCCCGCAGACCCTATTCCCCACTCCCTCCATGTGCCCGCACCTGCTGTGTCCCCAGGACACGGCCCTGAACACAAAGACAAGACCCCTGCCCCAATGGAGCCCACAATCCTGGGAGAGTGACAGGACACAATGGAACACAATCAAAGAGGAGACAATACCCTGGAATGAGAAATGAACAAAGGAAACAAAACGGATGAGACTGGGGTGGGACTTGCTCTGGGGTGAGGACATGTCAGCTGGGATCTGAGACTGGTGGCAGGCCTAAGATGCACTTGGGTTTTCTTCTCTATTCTATTCAAACAAATTTTAATGACCCATAAAATTAACGTCCTACCACACAAACAGGTCACGACCTGCAGTTTGAAAAACTGCGATGGCAGAGATGACAGTAGCAATAATGGCAACGTGGGCATGGGGTCACGTAAGCTTGAGCACACGGGAGGCAGGCAGACAGCGAGGCCAGTTCTCCGGGCCTCCATGCCATTTCGAGAACTTGGGCTCTCTCTGGTGCCCGACAGGGAGGCTGGAGGGCTATAACCAGGGCAGACGCTGTGTCCTAATAGCTCACGGACTTCAAATCTATCGGACCTGAGGGAATTTCTAGCTGCTGTAACATCGGGTCCAGATTGGCCAAGTCCTGAGCGCTGGGAAGAGCGCGAGTTCTCGCTCCACTTGGGGCCTGTCTCGGAACACAGTGCAGCCGACAAGACGCACACCAGTGACAAAGCAAAGTGTGTCACGTGCTCAGGAAAGGTCAAGGTGGAGACAAGACAGGGGAGGAAGTGGCATTTGGGCCTAGCTTGAAAAAATTGGTGCGATTTCAAAGGTTGAGATTAGGTGGGGGACAGACATCCCACACAGAGGCAGAGCTGAGGCCATGGCCCAAGCAGAAAACGTTCAGAAAACCAACCGGCTCCTGCTCTTGCCTTCCCGGACAGCGCTAGGCGCACCGCCCACCCAGCACGGGCAGGTGCACAACAGGAACAGCTGGCCAGGGGCAGGCGAGCGAGCGCGCGGAAAGAACCAAGAGCCGACAAGCAGTATGAGCGAGAAATTGGGAAGGTGACTGAAATGGACTATGGCGATCAGTGCTTCCCACCCAGCGTGGTTTGTTCCCCTACACACATGCACGTGCACACACACACACACACACACATACACACACACACGCTTGGCTGGTGACAAGGCCCGGCAGGGGCCAGCAGGCCCTGAGTCCCCACGCACTCCATGTGTCCAGGGACATGGCCCTGAACATGAAGATAAGACCCTGGTGGACTCTTGGGAATGTCTAGAGATATTTTTGGTTGTCACGACGAGGGAGGGGAAGTGCTCCTGGCCCCTGCGGTAGAGCCCTGGGTGGGAGGCAGCTCGACATCCTCCATCACCAACAGCCCTGCATGGAGACTCGCAGGCCGCAGCTCGAGCAGCCTTGCTGCAAACTCTGCTCGGGGGAGGACCACTGAGCATTCCAAACTGACAAAAGACCCTGCCAGAGACGTGTCCCAGCGAGAGGAACTCAGCAGCCTGGCAGGAACTGCTTAATGCTTCTGGCCTGACCAACAAGAAGCTAAGTGCTGGTGGCAGCCATGGAGAGGCAGAGGCTAGCGCCCCGGAGGCAGTAACACAGTGCTTTGCAGTGCCGGGGACACAGGGGAGGGTCCTGCATCCAGGTGCAAGATATCCCTGGGCTCACTGGGTACACACATGACCCGGCTGGCTGAGGACCCTGGGCACAATGGGTACACATATGACCCGGCTAGCTGAGGGACCTTGGGCATACTGGGTACATGCATGACTGGCTGGCTGAGGACCCTGGGCACACTGGGTACACGTATGACCTGGCTGGCTGAGGACCCTGGGCACACTGAGTACACATATGACCTGGCTGGCTGAGGACCCTGGGCACACTAGGCACACGCATGACTGACTGGCTGAGGACCCTGGACACACTAGGCACATGCATGACTGGCTGGCTGAGGACCCTGTTGGAGGGACCTCTTCTTCTCATCTCTGTCTCCCTCTCTCACGAAAAAGATTGAAAATAACCCTTTAAAAATAGAAACAAGGACTGACCCTGTTGTGCAGAAATTAAGTGCTGTGTAGAGGGGCCACATCCCGCATGGCCAGTGTGGCTCAAATCCCAACTTTGTGTGTTGCCCCCAACTAACACACTGGGCATGTGCCCAAGATCCTGAAGAGATTGAAAAACGGAGGGAAAAGGACTGCCGCGTGACCAGGCCCCATTGGGATGCTTTCTCTCTGTGTGTGTCTGTGCACACACAGGCCCACTGGCATTAAAATAGACAGAAAGAGGACCAACAGGTGACATGGAAGGTAAGGTGCTGGACTCCCATATAGCCAACTCTGCAATTTGAGTCCTGGACCTGGTGGCCTGAGAAACACGCCAGGTGCATGTGCATGCGTGCCCTAAATCCCAAGAAGAGAATGGAGGAGAAGGAATTATGGTGTGGCCATCCCCCTCGATGGGTGATTTCTCACTTTCTCTCTCTCTGTCTCTCTCTCTCTCTGGAGAGTGAACACACCTATAGGGAAAAAAAATCTAACCAACATAGAGAGAGAAAGAAATTGAAAGGAGAGAGATTGCAAAAGAAAACCCTCCCAGAATAGAAAGCTGACTGAACAGGGAGTAGAGGGACGTGAAGAGGAAGAGGATTCTCTGCGACATCAGCAGAGGCTGTCCGTTATTTATTGCTCCTGCACAGAGGCAACATCAACAAAAAACAGCTGGCATTTTTTGAGAGATGACTTGGTCCTAGGCACTGTGACTCATGCGTTCAGATAAGCCTCACTACAACCTGTGTTGGGGGAGAACTCGAGTCCCACTTCACAGAAGAGCTAAGGCTTAGGAACTGCTCAAAGCCACTGAGGTAGGCCAAGACCCTTCCAGCACCACACAGCAATGGCACTGCAGGGCCACCATGCACCATCGGGGAGAGAGGGGACCAGACCCACTTCTCACCAAGAGAGGCATTAGCCACGTGACCTAAATGTCACCCACTGCTCGACCAGACTGAAAGAATTCTCTACAACATAATCATGATCAGCCCTTCACCAGAAACGGTCCCTGTAGGGAACCTGATAGGTTTAACAAAAGAAAACATGGTCAGGGGAACACGAATGTGAACGAGATAGCACTTTTCACCTATCAGTCTAAGCAAGGATGAAGACCGTGACAAGGATGATGACTAAGATACTAAGATCCACACTGAAGGCATGGACAAGGGCCCTCCAAACTCCTCCAGTGGGTGTTAACTAACTACTACAGATTCTATTTTTTTTTTTTTAGACAGATTTTTGCTATAGGGCATGTGCGCTCGCTGGAGAGACAGAAAGTAAGAAATCGCCCCCTCCCCAGGGGGTATGGCCATGCCGCAATCCCTTCTCCTCTAGGGATCTTGGGCATGCACGCACACAAGCCAGGAGTGAGTTTTAAGCTGCCGGGTCTGGGACTCAAATGGTGGTCGACTACTATGTGGGAGTCCAGGGCTGTAACCATTATGCCATTTGTGGGTCCCTACTACTAAAGCGCCTTGATAGGTATGTTGTGGCCCCTATGACCCAAAAGCTCCCCTTCTACAGAACAGCCCCGTAAAAGAGTAAACAACAGTGTATCCCAATAAAGCACCATCGCCTCTCCAGAAGCTACCAGCACCTGGCAGGGACAGAACTCTGTGAATGAAGTCGGCGCCCCCGTGCATGCTCAGGAAACTCCACACACTCCAGAGACCCAGGGGTCTCCAGACAGTACCCAGAAAGACATTCGGAGTATACTGGGAGAAAAGAAGGTTGCCCAATGGCCTGTAGGATTCAGAAAAAGCAGAGAGAGTGCATGGCATGCTAAACAGAGGCCACGGGGTGCAGAGTGGGCAGTGGTGCAGAGTGGACAGGTGCGGGACGATTTTAACACTTTTTGTAATGTTGTATACAAACAGACTCTGAGTAGGGAAGTGACGGGCCTACAAAAGGTCATGACCAAATACGACAGACCCCAGAGGCTTTTGACCTAGGCCTCCCCCACTCTCCCTCTCTCTTCTGGCAACCAGGACTCGAAGTTCCCTGGTTAAACAGAGGCAAGTGTGTTCTGGTGCCAGGGAGGGGATTTCAAATCTGAAACATCCCCGCAGCACCCCAGGGGAAGACTCACCTGAGAAAGTGTTGTCTGCAAACCGTAATAGTAAACTGCTCTTGCCCACACCTGCAAGAGAAAGCTGTGGTGAGACGAGCCCACCGGCCCGCTGGCCCTGGGGAACGATGAGAACCCCAAGCCCAGGGGAACTGGCTCCCCTCCGAGCTGCTGCCTACATCTCAACCGGCCACATGCTGCAGACATCTCTCCACTCACTCCCGACCTTTTCCTTCGTCCTCATGTAAGACAAGCTGCTCCCAATACCCAGGGGAAGATGAGAAAGGGACTCGTGTCCAGGCCCTGTGCAGAGGGCTGGCCCCGGCAGCCAAAGTAACACACCGGACCACAGGGTTCAGAAGCAGGAGGAAGGTCGACCAATGAGACAGCCCCCCTGATGCAGCTAGAAAACTGCACCCAGGTGCAGAGCTTCAGTTGGTGAGTGGCTAAGCATGAGGAACAGGAGCTGGGAAGAACCCCTGAGGTGATCGGAGTTTAGCAGATGAGAAACCAAGGCCCACAGAGCTGGAGCAGACGGCCAGAGTGTGGAGGGGTGGCGAGGAAGTCTGTACTGCTCCTCAAACCCGCTGCCCACCTGCGCCCAGGCCGCCGCACTCACCACTGCAGCCCCTGGCTTGCTCGCCTGATGTCCCCTTGACTTCAACCAGCAGCCTGCCCTGTGTCCCATTGCCCATCCTTGATCCCTGGCACCCCAGCTGGGTCAACTGATCCCAGAAGGAAACCGTGGGCATGCCCCGATCAAGCTCTGTCTGTGAGGCAGGCCCTTTGATGCCCCCAGAATTCCAACTACATCTCTTACAGAGAGGCCGCTGCAGCTGGGAGCAACGGGCCTGAGGTGCCTCCGCCAGCAGTGGTGGGCCCAGATCCGAACCCAGCGCCGTCTCCTCCAGACCTGACACTCCTCCCAGTGTGTCCTGCACTGTGGATCTGTTTCAGGATGGGAGAAAACAGCACCACAGGGGCCACTACATCTCACTCCCACTCCATGTTCAACACCAATGCCATTAGAGCTATGAAGAGATCGTAATCTAAGACTCTCGCCAACCCTCAGACCAGGGTGCAGGTTGGGTGCATGTGCCTGCTTGTGGGAGAAGCCCACAGCAGATTCTGAGAGGGCGCTGCCTCCACCCCACCCCCAAGGAACCACACTGCAAACCACTGGTGCAGACTGAGTCGCAGTTGCGTTTCTCTAAACCTAACCCCAGACATCCTCTCTGGGCCAGCGAGCCTGTCTGAGATCGCTTCCGGGGACTTCAGGCGAGTGAGTTGTCCGGGGATGCCCAGAAGAACTCGTTTCGCCAAATACACCTGGGTCTGACCTTGCCGATGCAGGCGGGTGAGCCTCTCCTGAGCAGCCAGGTGCAGCA